TTCCTTGGTTTTGGTATTAGTGTTATGCTTGCTTCATAAAATGAGTTTGGGAGTACTCCATCTTTTTCTATGTTCTGGAATAGCTTGAGTAGCATAGGTGTCAACTCTGCTCTGAATATTTGATAGAATTCTCCAGTGAAGCCATCAGGGCCAGGGCTTTCCTCTGTGGGAAGTTTTTTATGATCTGTTCAATTTCTTCCCTTGTTATAGGTCTCTTCAAGTTTTCTATTTCTGAGTGGGATAATTTAGGTAGATCTTTGGATGGTTCATTTTAAGCCTAGCAGATGGTAAAATAGTAAGACTGACGGATGAAAGAGGCCAAAACATTTTGAAAACCCTGCAATTTGATGGACTTAGGAAATTTTGTAGTGACTCAGCCCTATCATATGTTAATGATTCAGATTCTTTTGATTGGCAATAGGTAATAACTTATCACCTTTTGAAGTTTTATAATAAACTGACTGATATTAGAATGAGCACTTTTCACAACAGAAAAATTATCCTAAAAAATTTTTATTTATTTATTTTTTCATTCTAGTAAGCACTAGTATAAGCAGTTTCTTCAAAGCTATTTCAGGTTCATGGAGATGGTGTGACCAGAGAAGTTCTGAGCTGAGACCAGTAAATAAAGAAAGACTTGTGTATTACAGCAAAAGACTCATTGCCAAAGTTCTTCTTAATGAGTTAGTCACCCATTTGGCTTCCTTGTCAAAAAATATGACAGGCATTCTTACACCCCCTGTTCTAGACGTCAACTTCCCATTCCAAATGCATATCATACTATCCAGTAGAACTTATGCATACATATTTTAGGGTTGTTTTATTGACAATAAGAAATGTAGTGCTCTTTAAGGAGCACTCTTATAAGAAATATTAAAATCTCCATAGAATGAATAGAATGCACAACATAATGAACTGTTTTATTAGCTGAGATACTTCTTTGGACAAATTCAAGTGATTTAATAAAATGAGTTAGATAAAAATCAAAGACCATTAAAAATAAAAGATAAGCAAGAATATCATATATAGAAAAACAAAGGATTCTCAGAGAAGAAAGAAAAAATTGTGTAATATCAAACAAAATTTCAAACTCCTTGACTTTCATTCATCATTGTGATGATTTCAGAATATATCTAAGTATAAGCATCTAATCCTGATAAAAAGTCAATATGACTGTAATGTGGAATCTTCTTATCGTAAATGAGGTTGGAGATTTTTGGTACCAAATTTTTAACATCTATAGGATTTGCCAAATTATCCCTTCCACCACTCCACATCGCAGTTGGGACCATCATATTCTCCACATGGTATAATGGAGGAATGGGCTAATGGAAAAAGAGGAACAGTAACATTTGTATTAACAGCATATCAAACTATAAAGCTAAGTTAATTATCTTCCTCTCCTATGAATTGATAATGGCAATTACACATTTATTAAATCCATAGAAATTGGATTTCTACATTTGTCAGGCAGATTGGACTCTAGTCCAAACTTCAAAATGCATTAACCATATGATTTTACCAAAGTGGAATCTCTCTACACCTCAGGTTCTTTATCTGTGAAATCGTGATATTAATAAATGTCTAACAAATTTCACAGGGCTGGTGAGAATATCAAATAGCATGATATGTGGAAATGTGCTTTGTACAGTATTAAGTGATAAAAAGCCATTTTAATATTTTATCCCAAATCTAGGCCTGCCTATACCATACATATTCTTGGGAAATAGAACAGTCTCTTTCAAAAACAAATGTTGGATTATATCTTAAATATATCTTTCTTTTAGCATATTCAAAAGAGCCAAATAATTAGATTCAGAGAGGCTAACTTACCTGATTATAGTGTAGAATATTTTGGAAGATACTTCCCCAGTCATAAGCTTGAAATTTACCTGTTCTAATAGACTTAAACAAAGATAAACACACTATTACTAATAAAATCTTAAAATATAATAATAAAATTTACAGATAACTGAGTCCCACTGCTTCATTTTACAATATGACTCATTCTGATTTAATGTCCCATACATCTAAGTCCAGTACTTTTTCTTCCAAAATGCTATGTACATCTAGTTGAATGACCACTAAATATATCCCTAGAAAATTAGAAATCAAGAATAGGGGAAAAATAACCAGCTTTTATGAAAAAAAAAAAAAGATTAAGTGAAGTACATTTTCAACCAACCAACCATTTGCTATCAAGTCTACTTCAACTCATGACTACTCCACATGTGTCAGACTCACCTGTGAGCCACAGGGTTTTCAATAGCTGAGCATCTTAGTGGATTTGAACCTTCAACCTACTGTTTAACAGCCAAGTGCATTAACCAATGGTACAGCCCAGGAGCTCAAATGTACATTTTGCACACATTTTAATAATGTTGAGTAGTTATAGTAACTTATTTCAACTTATCCATTAATAAACAAATAAAGATGAAAAATTATCACTATCACTTCACAGGAAAGAAATGGGTATTTGTCAAATTAACTATTTTAGAATGGAGATTTGTTATACCATAATTTCACATTAAATTTTATTTTGATGGTACAAAATAAATTTCATTCTTTAATCAGTTCTCAGTAAGAAAAAATTTCAAATAAGTAGAATTCAAATGAATGAAGTCTTACAACACTATTAAAATATGCAATGTTAATTTCCTAGCAGTGTAAAGATTGTTTTGTTGCTTTACAATTCAATTAACATCAAAATATATTTCCAAACACATTAAGTAGTATTTGTATTCAAAATTGATATGCAGTAAAAAGGTTTTTTTATCTTCATGTATAATTTCTTTTTCACAAAAATTTCCCTATGATACACTAAGACAAAATAAATAAATGAAATGTATGCAGCATAGTAAGAAAAAGTTGTGTTGCAAGAAGAATTGCCTCAGATTTAGAAAGAGTAAGAAATGGGGTTTATTAGCATTTTAATTGCCAGCCATAAGTAGCACAAAGACTATCTCTTCTGTAAAGCAGATGCTGAGACAGTCCAACTTCCTTAAATAGGTTTCTATAAAAAGGCAATGATGAGGCAACTCTTCTTAGAATAAGGTGAAATACGTTGCTTTGTTTGCTGTGGGTGAAGAAGTGAAATGATTCATGGCAATGAAGACATAGAGGATCAAAGAATCAAAACCCATCTTGAATTCAAAAGATATGGCTGGGGATGCGGAAGAATGATCTAATGAAATGTTCTTGCTCTCCACACGCAGTTATCAGCTTCCAAAAAAGTCCAAACCCAACCCACTACTGTCAAGTCTGACTCATAGCAAACATGTAGGACAGAGTAGAACTGCACCATAGGGTTTCCAAACCTATAATATTTTCTGAAAACAGATTGCCACATCTTTCTCCCATGTTGCAGCTGGTAGGTTCACACCACCAACCATCTGGTTAGCAAGTGACTGCTTTAATCTTTGGGTCAGCAGGGCTTCGTTGTATCAGCTTACACCACGGTAAATTATTTTAACAAAGTGAGTTCATTTTATCTTCATTTGATTGGCTGCCACTTGGGTGATTCTTTTGGATGAACAAAGAACACTTGTCACAATTTACACATACATCTTAAGGGCTCCTGGAATTTCAATGCAACATCAACCTTTGAAGAATTTGTGTCAAACTGATTTTCATTTGACATAAACATATATTTATGCCTGTGATAGTTGGAGCTGTGTGTCAACTTGGCTGGACCCCAGTTTGGTGTGGTTGATCCCATGATGGGATCAGATGACTGTGTTCTGAGTGGCCAGTCTGCCCAAGGGGAGTTTCCCTAGGGGTGTGGCCTGCTTGCAATGATATCCAAGGACATCCTGGAAGAGCCACATTTCTTAAGGGGTTGGAACCCTGGTGTGCGAACTACAGACTTCCGTGAGTGAGCGGCCCACCGCTCGGCCTGGA